AGTGTCTTTAATACTGAACAGAAATTAACTGAGATTTTTAACCCAAAACATGATTGGGCTTGATGCGCTATTACTGCAAAATGGGTTAGCGTTATGCCTATGACATGAACACACGTCTACATTTTTTGCTTAAATTTTAGGTCTATATGCTGCTGTGTATGATCTTGGCATAGAATGGGCTGTAATTAAAGCAGTGTCGGATTTTGCTGACGGAAGTAAAGAGAAAACAAAACTTTGGCAGCCATTTGCCAGCGCAATGGCGGCATCTGTTGTATATAATATGTTTAAATATCCTGTTGTGCTAAAAGACTGGCGTCACTACAACGCAGAAGGTAGCTATTCTGTTATACCGACTCCACACGTTTCCATCGACCAGTTTCTTAAAAGTATTGCTGGTACAACAGAAGGCACGGTATATGCCAACACAATTAAATTTTACCATCTTCATTTCTTCCTCCCGTATCTCATATTCTACTATATCTCAAATCAATAATTCATGACGAGAATTCAAAAGATTTAATCAGTACTTTGAAATCGAACAAATATTACAGCCGAATTTCGGGAACTTTAATCTTGAAAGTGTTCATCCTCTGATTTCTAAATACAGACAAATAGGTTAAAAAACTTAATTGTCATGTATTTTCAACTTACTTGTTCAAATGCATAGGCATAAGGGGAGTACAACCCCTATATTGTCCCCCTTTGGTAACAATGATTTCAACTGATAGAAATGTTTTTTCATTTTATATATTTCAGATTCCACGCTGTCATTTGAACAAAAAATAATATCTATCGATGACCTTAGTGTTAATACATGTCGTGTTGGGCATGTGACTAGCGTCACTCCACATGGAGCCTTTGTTGACATTGGAGTACGAGGCCACAAAGGACTGTTACACAAGTCTGAGTTTCCATCCTCCAACGACTTAGAAACTGGAGATACGTATTATGTGGTTTGTACAGATGTAGATAAAACAAATAAACGAATAGCACTTCGTTTGAAATAACCATACTATCTCCATCATTTTAGGTAGATTTTCTATCACAAAGCCTAGACCTACAATCATGGAACAATTACTTTGGGACAAGTTGAAAACGTTTATTATTTAAAAAGAAAGTAATATATTTCGAGCTTACATTGTGCTCCTCCCCCCCCCCCCAACACAATGTTGTGTTCAAGAACATATGATAATCACGAGTATTACACAACATTTTGCGATAGGAAATAGCTGGTGAACCAACATTGTAAGGTGGGGGAAGGGAGGTGGGGGACAGGGTAACGTTTATGTATGAATGTACGATCTGCGACAATAGTTTAAAAGCTGCCTGTATTACAATGCTGTTTGATGATGCAATATATATTTGTTTGACAGTTTTCAATAGACCTTTCCCCTTATGAGTGAAATTTTGATCTAGATATGCCTGGACAAAAATTTC